GGCTATCAGAAGGGAAAGATGTCCCTTGTCCTTGAGTAGGAAGAACCAATAGAGTGAAAATGGCCATACTTCCAAAATTGTTATACAGATTTAATGCAATTCCAATCAAAATTCCAACAATATATACCACAGAATTAGAAAAAAACAATACCAAAATTCATTTGGAACCAGAAGAGACCTAGAATAGTAAAGACAGTTCTGGTCAACTAAGACAAGGCAGGAGGCATCACAATCCCTGACTTGCAATTGTACTACAAAGCTCCTGTGATAAAACAGCATGGAACTGGTAAAAGAAAAAGAAAAAAGAAAAAACAAAACAAAACAAAACAATAATGATGATCAGTGGAATAGATTAGATAGAAGATGCAGAAACAATTCCAGACATACTGAGCCATCTTATCTTTGACAAAGGAGCCGAACACATTTACTGGAAAACAGCTTTTTCAATAAATGGTCCTGGAAAAACTGGCTATCCATATGCCACAGAATGAAACTATGTACTATCCTAAAACCATGTACTATCCTAAAACTGAAATGGATTAAATATCTAAATATTAAAACACAAACACTAAATCTGCTGGAAGATAGAATGGGTAGGACACTCGACATAGGTGTTAGTCAAAAACTATGAACAAAACCCGGATTGCACAAACTATCATCACAAAGAATCACAACTGGGATCTCATCTTATTAAATAAAAAGCTTTGCACTGCAAGAGAAACCACCATCAGAGTGAAGAGACAACCCACAGGGTGGGGAAAAATTTTACCAGCTGTTCATCAGACAAAGGACTACTATCTAGAATATATAAAGAACTCAAAAACACAGCCAGATTTAAAGACCCAAATCAAAAATGAGCATCTGAAATGAAAAGACACTTCTCAGATGACAAAGTAGAAATGAGGGACAAATTTATCTAGTCATTCAAGAAATGCAAATTAAAATAAAGCTGAGATTCCATCTCACTCCATAAAGAATGGCTGTTATCGGGCCGGAAATGTAGCTCACTGATGCAGTGCCTACCTCGCAAGCACAACATCCTGAGTTTGATGCCAGGTACCACACACACACACAAAAGAATGGCTGCTATCAAGAAATCAACCAGTAACAAATGTTTGAGGGGCTATGGGGAAAAAGGATTCCTTCTCCACTCTCGATAGGAATGTAGCCTGTTGCAACCACTGTGGAAATCAATGTGGAGATTGCTCAAGAAGTAAACCTAGAGGTTCCACCATTTGACCCAGCTGTTCCCCTTCCTCGTATCTTCCCAAAAGAATTAAAAGCATCATACCACAGCAATATATGCACCCATGTTTATAGCAACACAGTTTGTAATAGCTAAATCTTGGAAACAGCCCCAAAGACCATCGACTAAGGAGTGAATAAAGATGTAGTTTTCTTATACAGTGGAGTTACTCTGAATAAAGAAGGATGCGCTTCAGACATTTATAGCTAAATGGATGCACCTTGAGCCCATACTCTTAAGTGAAACAAATCAGACACACGTTTAAATACCACATTGTTTCTCTGGAGTGAGAAACCAAAAGTGGAAATAAGGGCCAAAATGTTTAACAGATATTGGGAAGAAAATGTTCAATGGGAAGGGAATCAAGGGAGGTAAGAAGAGAGGATGGAAGAGATAAGAAGAAAAAGTGGAAATAGAAGGAAAAAATGGAAGCAAAGCTTTTGCACATACGGAGGGGAGGGGCTTCAGGAGAGGAAGAGAATGGGAAGAAGAGGTAGGAGGTGTTATGCACAGCACAAATGGTCCATGAGGAGTGCTATCACTGTGCACGCCTCCAAGGTACCGGTAAATGTTCTGCTGTTAAAACAAAGTTAGTTTTTGTTGTTGTTGTTTGTTTTCTTTTTTTTTTTGAGACAGGATCACGTTGTAGTTCAGGCCAACACTGAATTCTGTTAGCCTCAAACTCATGGGGATCCTCCTGCCTGAGCTTCCCAAGTGCTGAGATTACAGTGTGCACCACCACATTTAGTTTTCAAAAATAAATTTAAATTCAAATGATTTAAGCTCTACCAACTTAAAAACATGTAGTGTCAAATATAAAGAATAGTAACATAAATACGTCTTAGAACTTACCAATTGATCTGTTATCCATTTTCCTTCCATGGCTTTTAATACTCTAGGGGGGAAAGCACGTACACAGTAAGCTCTTAAAAATAAAGTTTTCTGAAATTCAAAATCACGTTAAAAAAAAAATTTTTTTTTGGTACCAGGTACCAAACTAATCAACTTTTTAAAGCTAAGTGATTAGAAGCAGCTGGCCAAGTGAGACTTGCCATGGCAAGTGTTTCCCCGATTCCTCACTTCCTTCCCTTGGCTCTGCTGCCACTGCCCAGAACCTTCATAAATATCCACAATGAAATCCCACAATACCCAGCCTCAGCCTCAGAACTCCATCAGCCACAGTTCATAACAACAGCTACCCAAGAGCTCAAGATCTAAAACAGTCTTAGCTCCCAAGAAATAGTACCGGCATTCCTGAAAATGTGTCCTGTGGAACCTAGAACATTTTATAGAATAAAGTGCTCTATGGGTGAAAAATTTCTGTGATTGAGTCATCTAGAGCAATGACTGAGTTAAAAAAAAATCAAATTTCTCTAAAACAGAATCTCAGGATACTTAATCTGCTCATTAATGTGTCTGTCAGATGTGGTAGACTCTTAAAAGTTCAGACCCCACCCTAGGATTCCCTGGCAAAGATACCACTTTCACCAGCAGAGAACACTTCCTGATGGACCTTGTGTTGAAGGTTTCAGAAGAACCCTAAAAGGGACAGGACTTGCAGGCAGTGGAAAAAAAGCACTGAGGCAGGGCAATCTGAGCATGAAGGCACAGAGAGGCACACTCCCAGCCTATGGGTGAGTTTGAAGCAGAAAGTTCTACAGGACAGTTCTCAAACCTAGGGGCTGATTCATCAGGTGCTCATTAACAACTCCGATTTCCCAGGCCTCAGTCCAGACTTACTGAGTTAAGGTCCTGCGCAAGGGCAGAACTGCAAGAAGCTGCACTTTTCAGCACTACTTCGCTTAGCGGATTCAGACACATACTTTGCTAACTCTGACAGTGAAGGCGAAAGGTAAATCAAAGTAGGAAGGTAATGCTGGGGCTATAATTTAACCAAACCTACTGTTGCAGGCCCATTTGCCAAGCAGTGCCAAGGGCCAGAGATCTGACTACATTAATCAAGTGTCTTCTGTCTACCCGGTACCAGGTCTGAGTCCAGGGCTTTCTGGAACTTGATACTCTTTCATGCTGCACCTCTCCCAGATGCAGTCTTGCCCCACATTTGGCAAGACTGCAACTAAACTCAGTAAGTTACCAATCCATGCACAGTAGTACCTTGGTTCATGAATTTAATTCTTTCCACAATTCTGGTCATAAACTCAATCAAACTTCCTCGTAAGGCTCACTGTCACCTGATTCAAAGTTCTCAAATGAAAGCAAATTTTTGTTGAATGGATTTTTGAAAAAAAAGCACTCCTGAATCAAGGTATTGCTGTACGGTATCCACATACCATGGCAATGAATTAAACCACATGAGAGACAGCCTCCACAAATTAAAACTCAAAAAAACTCACTCTTTTTGAAATTCTTCTTGCTTGCTCTTAAGTTGGTTTAATCTTTCCTTCTTGTCAATAAACCTGTAAAAAAAAAAAAAAAGTTTACTGTTTTATTTTGGTGTTCGTTTTTCTCAGTTCAGTAAGATTATACAAGTTTCAAGAGCCGATCACGTCTCACCATCCCGAAGCAAACACACCTTTTCAATGAGATGCATGCTGCTGCTTACCGCTGAGTATTTTAAAACTAAGTTCAGATCTTCAACTTCAAAAGCCTTTCCTAGGCTCATCAATCATTTGCACATTTTCCCCAACCATGGGTTAAATTATTTTCCAAAGCATGCAGATCAGAACACTAAGATGAATTTGAATTCAAGGTAACTGAAGTTTCTGTTACAAAAATAATTTTAATTACTAAACTTAAAACTTCCCTTCTCTATAAATTGAGTCCTTGTAGTTTTTAAAGTACTGTGTTTTTCATTAAAAACTGTTAACTCATTGCAAGCTAACAAGTTACTCAATAAAAGGCATCGAAAAGGAGTATAAAAGTGCCCTTAACTTTCTTTATGTGTACTAGCCTTCTACCCCTTCTACTTCATCCTTATTTTCTATGTGCTATGTCATTTTGGTTTTGTTCGGTTTGCACTTTAATATGGCAATCTACATCACTAACTGTAGTTTAATTTCCTTCCTAAACCTTTCTTTCTTAAAGTTTAATTTACTTAAACTAATACCAAGAAAATCAAAAAATTATGCTTATTAATGGGGCACCACTGGATGTTTCCACACACGCATGCCTTGCACAGTGCTTAAACCAGGTTACACGCATCTCCGCGAACATCGTGTCTTCTTGGTGAAACACCTGCGGCCCTCTCATCTCGCTTTGAGATACAGCACACATGACTGTCGCCCACAGTCATCCTGCTGTGCAAAAGGACCTCAGAGCTTCTCAGCCTAACTGGAACACAGGACCCACTCTTCAACCTTTCCCCATCCTTGTCTGAGTCTGGCAGACACCCTTCTACTCTACTCTCATCTCGTTTTTAAAGGTTCCTCAAAGAAAACATGCAACATTTAACTTTCTCAATCTGTCTTACTTTGCTTGCCTCCAGTTCCACCCATTTTCCTGTAAACAACAGGATTTTTTCCTTCTTTATGACTGACTAATGCTTCGCTCTCTATATATCACCACATTCTCTTTATCCATTCATCTGCTGAAGGGCATCCAGAGCTTAGCTACTGTGACCTACACAAGAAACATTGATTTGCAAGTGTTTGTACAATATGCTGATTTTAATTCTTTGCGGATATACCAAAGAGTGGTACAGTTGAATGAAATGGAATCCCTATACATGGTTGGTTGGTTTGTTTTGTTTTTTGTTTTTTTGAGAGTGTCTCACTACGTAGTTGAGACTGAGCCGGAACTATGTAGCTCAGGCTAGTCTCAAACTCACAGTGATCCTCCTGCCTCAGCCTCCCAAGTGCTGGGATTACAGGTGCGCACCACCACTATACATGGTTTTTTAGGAAACTGTGCTCCAATTTCCATAGTGGTTGGAGTAGTGTACACTCCTGCCAACAACATTCCCCTACTTTCACAAGAGTATTTATGTATGTGTATGTTTTGGTTTTTGGGGGGTTTGTGGTTTTTTTTGGAGTGAGTTTGTTTTTGTTTTTGTTTTTTAAACAGCTCTGTAATTCAGCCTGGCCTTGAACTCACTAAGTAGCCCAACTGGCCTCAAATTCATGGTGATCATCCTGCCTCAGCTTCCTGAGTGCTGGGTTACAGGTGTGGCCCACCACACCCACCCCTGGATGTATTCTTGATGACAACCAATGCGACTGGGATGACACAGAATTTCAATGCAGTTTTGATCTGCATTTCCCTAATGGCTAAAGATGCTGAACGATTTTTCATGTAAGTATGAGCCAAGTGTACTTCTGTTGAGTGTCTATCCACTCAACTTTTACTTGCTGGCTGGGTTATTTGTTTAGGTTTGTGTATGTGTTCTTTAAATCCTTTGTGTACTTTTCAATATTAATCCTCTATTTAAAAAAAGTAGCTTGCAAAGATTTTCTATTTTGTAGGTGGTCTCTTCACTGTTATTTCCTCTACGGTGTAGAAGCTTTTTATTGATGTAGACACATTTGTTCACCCTTGCTCTTCCTGTGCCATTCGAGTCCTATTCAGGAAGTCTTTGCCTGTGCTATGGTTTCAGATGTCTTTTTTTTTGGAAGACAGAATCTCACTAATTTGGCCTTGAAACTGCAATCATCCTGCCTCAGCCTCTCAAGCAGCTGAGACTGCAAGCATGTGCCACTGCACCTGACTAAAATTTAATTAGGATGGGGTGGGTCAGGGAGTATGAGTAACATCAAGGAACTGATTATAAACTCAATGATCAGTAGCTCACTATTTTCAAGAGGACAAGAATAATGACCCAGGACCATGATACTAACTTTTGGTTGTCTCTCATGAATTCCTAGGACAAAAGAAAACAATTTTTTCAAAATTTTCAATCGTAATTTATATATAATTATTCCATAATGCAAAAATAATTCTTAATTATTGGTTTAAATAGGGACTATGCTCGATCTGAAAATGAAAACAATTTAACAGACAGAATCATTTCTCTAAAATACTATTTCTATAACTCATGTTTCAAAGATACCAAACATACCTAAATGAGAGGGATAAACAATCAAATCGTGATTTATCATTTTAACAGTACATTTTTGTTATATATTAAGCAAAAAGGAAATCAACCACTGTATAGGACAGAATTATAAATGTATATGCAACAAAATTAAACTTCAGTTCCTCGTTTGCACTAACTGCATTTCAACAGGCACACAGGGCCTATTGGGACAGCACAGGCACAGAACATTTACCTCATTTGACAGCATCCTACTGACAGTGCTACGCCATCCAGCACGGTGGCAGCTACATGAAACAGTGTTAGAAAGGTCAGGGATGGATGTGGAATACAGACAAGCCTACAGATTCACCAACTGATTTACCAAGGAAAGATAACTGATGTGACTACACAGTACAACAGCATCCTCCAGAATAATGAGATATCTAACTATATCTTCTTTCGCAGCTGACCATGTATTCACCGACATATCATTTCTTGTTTTGTTTTGGGTTTCTGTTTTCTGAAACAGGGTCTTGTGATACAGTCTAAGCTAGCCTTGAACTCATCCTGTAACTCAGGCTGGCTTTGAACCTGCATCTATCCTCCTACCTCGGACTCCTGAGTGCTGAGATTACCACCACACACGCCATCTCCTTGTATCAAAAGTGAGAAACTGCTGGGCCTGGTGGTGCACACCTGTAATCCCAGCACTTGGGAGTCTGAGGCAGGAGGAACACTGATTTTGAAGCCAGTCTGGGCTACACAGCAAGATCCTGTTCCACAAAACCAAAAATGGGGGGGGGGGGCTAAAGTGTTTACTTCAACCTCACTGGGATAACAAGGTGATTGATGATCCTCATAATCTGAAGGAAAATGACAAACTCACAAGACTGTCACGCTTTGACACAGAGGACAAAATTGTTTTCAGGGGCTTACAAAAGTTCTCCACCGAGAGCTACGGGGAAAATGCCACTCCACTGAAAGACAGCGGATGGTGGCACCTCACTCCAGCTTCACAGTGAGCTGGCTGATCCTTGTGGGCTGTTAGGAAAAACAACGATGGAAACGAACAGGAAAATCCCTTCAAAACAAATAAACAGATGACAGCAGGATAATAAAAAAGCTAGCAGTTTCTTTAGTATCAAAATATTTCCTGAGTCATGCTGTCCCATGTGAAGGAAATTAAAAATAGGTGGTGCTAGCAAAGCCAAAGAGCAGGTGACAGAGGAATGTGACTGGGTCAGCAGGCCAACTGCTCACGGTGCATCACCCACTGCACTCTGCCGAGGCCATTCTGCGCTTTCTCAAAAGAGGTGTCAAGCAAGAATGGAAGACAGGCGCACAGGCAGCACATTCAACCCCGACTGAATGCGGCGTCTTCCCCCTTAGGTGGGGAATGCAGGAAGCTGGACTCATAGTTTACATACTGCTTTCCAAGTTTAGTTTGTCTCAAAAAGCATCTTCCATCTTCCTCCACTGAGCCAGCACGTTCTTTGAGAAGTACACAGCATTTCATGGACTAGACAGCACCAAAAGTTACTACTTATATATACCCTTGCTGATAAGTGCTGCTGCTGCTGCCAATGTTCACTATTATCAGAAGTAATGCAAATAAACATCCTAGTGCACAAATCTTTACAGGCTCTCCGAAGTTCTCATACATACAACGCTAGATCAAAGAATATTTACACGCAAAGACTTGGTATTTATCTTAAAATTTCCTCTAAAATATTTCACACGGGGTAGCAGAACCCAACTTTTGACACACTCCTCATACATTTCTAACATTTCTTTATAGTCTTTTTTTCTTTATAATCTGATTGGCCTCCAACCATCACCCTAATATACTTTATAATTCGCTTATTTGACTTTATTTCACTATTATAGAGATTGAACGTCTTTTCATAACTTACTGCTAGTTAAATTTTTCATTATTCTCCTATAAATGCCCTCAATCCAGTTTTCTAAATTTTTAAAGGATTATCAGGGAAATTAGTTGTTTTTCTTTCATACATCTTGAAATTATTTTTTCTCAATATGTTCTTACTACTTATATTTCTTTCTTTCTTTTTTTTGAGACAGGGTCTCACTATGTAGTTGAGACTGACGTGGAACTCACTATGGAGCCCAGGCTGGTCTTCAACTCACAGCAATCCTCCTGCCTCAGCCTCCCGAGTAATGGGATTACAGGCATATGCCACCACTCACAGCCTTATATTTTTGATATACAGAATTTGCTGATGTTTTTATACTTTCTTTAATGACTAGTTTTGTGTTGTTTTCTGGAAGAAATCTGACAGTGAAACTGTTCTATGTATGATTTTACATTATTTCCAGTATTTTCTCTCCCAATTCAAAAATGCCTTTAATAATGGCTAAAAGTGGACTAGGGGACGGATCGCTTGCTATTGGGAGGAAGGCCAAGAGAAGAAGAGCGAGGGGTAG